GCTGCTGGCGCACCTGCAGCGGCGGCGGGAGGAGATGCGCGCCGACGGCCCGCGGACGCCCCCGGGCGGCGGCACCCGCACGTGCACCGTGACCGAGGGCAAGCACGCGCGGCTCAGCTGCTACGTGACCGGCGAGCCCAAGCCCGAGACCGTGTGGAAGAAGGACGGGCAGCTGGTGGTGGAGGGCCGGCGGCACATGGTGTACGAAGACGCGCAGGAGAACTTCGTGCTCAAGATCCTCTTCTGCAAGCAGGAGGACCGCGGCCTCTACACCTGCACCGCCTCCAACGTGGTGGGCCAGACCTACAGCTCGGTGCTGGTCGTGGTGCGAGGTGAGCCCCGGCGCCCGGCCGACTTGGGCCTGGCCTCCCGCGTCCTCCCCCACCCCGCCCGCACCGCGTGCCGCCCGCCTCGTGGAAGCCAGACTCGGAGATCCTGGGGCCCGGCGCTATTCTGAGGCCCCGGCTTCCTGTGCATGAAAGGCGGGAGGCATGGGGGCAGTGACCCTCGGTCTGTCCTGTAGTTTTGTGAGAGTCACACGCGTAAAGAGGAAAGCAGCCCCCCCGCCGCGCCCCGGCCTGTTTTCTGACCCAGTCGCTGGAGTTTGCCGGCAGCTGAGTCCTAGTTGTCTGTGGAGAGCAGGACAGGACCCTTGGCCTGAGGTTAACCACGGGGATGGCTAGAACCTGACAGGAGCAAGGCAGCTGGTAATAGGGGGCAGATCAGGTTTCTGGGCGGGGGGCCGTGGGCCCGCCTGGCAATCCCGTCAAGGGGCTCTGGGCAGTGAGCAGCCCCCTCAGGGTGGTCAGGGTTTGAGCGGAAGCTGGAGGAGTGGCACGGCTACGGGCCCCCCACTCTGCCCAGTGCTGTTCTGGGGTGGGTCCCTGCAGGGGACCTGGCCACAGGCACCTTGCCGGGGAGGCAGGACTTTGGGGCCTTCCAAGGACATGAGAAGACCAGACCCCGCAGCCTGTCAGAGTAGGGGATCCTGGGAGATGGTCAGGGTGCCCAAAGCTCGCCCCAGAATCTTCCCCTGGGGCTCCCTCTGGCCACTGAGCCTGCCCTGTCCAGGCTGAGGGGACACCCTGGCTCCCCCCCACCCATGCTAATGCAGGGGACAGGGAAGGCACGAGCAGGCATAAACCTTTGGGTGGTCGGAGATGCCCTGGGCCAGTCCGCATGCCCCTCTGGGCCCTCCCGCCCCACACCTCTCAGGTGGGGGGCTCCCCTGAGATGAACACTGGTGGCAAGTATGGCCCCAAATCAGGTTTTTGAGGGGAGACTCGTTTATTCTTCTCTCCTAAGACCGGCCTCTTGATATCCGAACCCACCTCCAATTCTTACCCGCAGGCTGGGGTCTTGGGCAGGGTGCTTGACTCCTTCTGTGCCTCAGTGTCCTCATTTTTGGGGGAAATTGCCCTCGTTACTCGGGGGTCCTTGTGAAGTCTGGATCGGGAATGGTGCAGCTCGCCTCCAGGGGCCTGGCACACAGCAAGCACTCAGGGAGTTTCAGCGTTGGCACGATCAGGACTTGGGCGTTCCTGGCCCAGAAGGCCCCCTCCCTGTTCTGCCTGTCGCTGGGCGGAAGCCCCCTCTCGGCTCTGCCGGCACCAGCATCTGTGCTTCCCCGAGGTGGTTCTGGTTTTCCACTTCACCTGCCTGCCTTTCTCCTGTCCTTCCAGAGTGCTCCTTTGGGGGGGCTCTTTCCTGTGAGCTCTGTGCCCCCTTGCCTACCTCTCATCCTCACGGCTCTCTTCTCTCTTGCACTGTTTAGATTTTGGGGGCTTACTCGCTCCCCCTTCCCCTATGTCCCCACCATCCTTGAGTTCTGGGCCCCTTTCTCTCTGTGCTCTGCCCTGTGCCCGCCCCACCCCACCCCTGTCCCCACCCCCTGCCTCTGGCTCCACCCCTGATCTCCTGGGGAGGACCTCTCTCATGAGCCTTCCCCTGGCAGAGCCCTCGGTGCCCTTCAAGAAGCGCCTGGAGGACCTGGCCGTGCGGGAGAAGGAGTCGGCCACGTTCCAGTGCGAGGTGCCGCTGCCTGCCACGGAGGCCGCCTGGTACAAGGAGGAGACGAGGCTGGGGGCCAGTGCCAAGTATGGCATTGAGGAGGAGGGCACGGAGCGCAGGCTGACCGTGCGCAACGTCACGGCTGATGACGATGCTGTCTACATCTGTGAGATCACGGAGGGCAGCCGCACGGTGGCCGAGCTCTCTGTCGAAGGCAGGTGGCAGGCTGGGCCGAGGTGAGGGTGGGCGGGCAGGGCACCTGGGCTGGGTGTCGCCTGTCTGACCGCACCCTGGATTCTGCCCCACCCCAGGCAACCTTACCAGAAGGCTCCCGCGGAAAACAGCGGTACGCACAGGGGACACGGCCATCTTTTACGTGGAGTTGGCCAGCCCACAGGGCCCTGTGCGCTGGCTGCGGAACCAGGAGGAGGTGGTGGCCGGGGGTCGAGTGACCGTCACTGCTGATGGCACACGCCACACACTGACCATCTCCCAGTGCAGCCTGGAGGATGCCGGCGAGGTGGCCTTCACGGCTGGGGACTGCCGGACATCCACCAAGTTCTGCGTGGCGGGTAAGGCCCTCTGGGATTGCCCCTTGGATTGTGTGCCTCGGTCCACCAAGCACCACCTGACAGCACAGAGCAGGGCTGTGGTGGGCAGCTCCAGAGGTCATGGTTCTGGTTTGCTGGGACCCACTGTTCTGGTTTTGTTTACCATCCCCTTTAACTCTCAGAAGTATCTAGTTTGGGATGGTAATGTATGTGGTCACCCAGGCACCTGTAAATTGCTTTGGGAAGCAGGGAGCCAGTTGGAGCCTGGATTATTCCAGAAGCACAGGGTGTGGGCTGAGGTCATGGATGTGTGAGCACCTGTCCTGTTTCTGTTGGCCTTTGGTACCACGAATCGGGTTTTTGTGGCCTGAGTGGTGCGTTCCCCTCTCCCCAGCAGCCCTCACCAGGTCCTGCCTCTGCTCAGAGCAGGGACAGGTCCCAACTCCCCTTAGAACAGCACCCTCAAAGGGCCATTGTGCCCCGCCTTAGCTGTTGTCTTGCCCGAGTCCCCGACGCACAGGTGGGGACCAAGGACTAGGATGGGAAGGAGACGTCCCACGGCCGTGTGGACGTCTAGTGTTGCGTCCCTTCCGTGGCAACCAGAGGCATCAGCAGGGGGCCCGGGGTGGGGGTCACGGCCCCCACAGCCTCCCCGAGAACCATTCCAGGCCACCTGAGCAGCTCATCTGTGGAGGTTGTTGGGGGTCCGTGACGCCCTCCCCCCGGGTAATCCCAAGACCCGGCATGGGGAGTGGGCTCCCCATGACCCTCCTGTTGGTGATGGGCAGCCTCTCCTTGGTGGGTGCTCACATTGGTGTGTGAACCTCTAGCCCCCAGGAAGCCGCCCATGTGCCCCCCTTCTGACCTCGTGGTGAAGGCCAAGACAGAGAGTTCTGTGACCCTCAGCTGGTCCCCACCGCACCTCGAGGACCGCCTTGTCACCATTGACGGATACCTGGTGGAGAAGAGGAGACTTGGCGCCTACGCCTGGAGCCGATGCCATGAGGCTGAGTGGGTGTCCCCGACTGAGCTGACTGTGGCTGGTGTGACAGAGGAGGGGGACTTCCAGTTCCGGGTGTCGGCTGTGAACAGCTTTGGCCAGAGTCCTGCCCTTGAGTTCCCGGGGACAGTCCACCTGGGTAAGGGGGTTCCCTGGTCTGGGCTGGGGGGCCAGTCTGAGGAGGGTCTGCTCTGCACGACCTCTGGTAGTGGCACCCGGGGCCGCCGTCCCTTTGCTCCCCCAGGCCCCTGAAGCATAGCCCGGTCTCTGTGTGAGGCCAGGGAACCTCTTTATTGGGCAGGCTCCCCAGGGTCCCACTGCTGTGGTAGCCTTCTCAGTGGGAGGAGAGGGGACACTGAGACAGGACTCCAGCTCCCTGAGGGCCCTGCCTGTCTGCACAGCCCTGGGGACCAGGCTGAGGAGCTGCCCCACCCCAGCTGAGTCAGACACATCCTGGGGGTGGGGGTGTGCCTCTCGGGGTGGTTCTCATTTGTCCCCACTCTGTTGTGGGGCCACGTGGGGCTCGACTTACACTCAGTGCCCACCGAATGATTGACCGTTGGGCTTCCTGGAGGAGGTGGCAGTTGGGCCTAGGCTCTACAGCAAGGGATGGGGAGGGCAGATGCTGATGCCCCCCATCCCTCCCCAGCCCCCCAGCTGGCTGTGAAGACGCCCCTGAAGGTGGTGGAGGCTGTGGAGGGTGGAGAGGTGACCTTCTCTGTGGACCTCACGGTGGTCTCGACGGGTGAGTGGTTCCTGGACGGGCAGGCCCTGAAGGCCAGCGGCACGTACGTGATCTGCTGTGACCGCACCCACCACACACTCACCATCCGCAGCGTGCCCGCCAGTCTGCACAGCGCCGAGCTCAAGTTTGTGGCCAACGGCATCGAGAGCAGCATCCGCATGGTGGTCCGAGGTAGGGGTGCTTCTGGCATGGCCCCCTCACTGGGCGTCGCCGGGTGGCTGCCACCGGGGGCCAGACTGGGGTGGGCTCCAGTGTGGTTCCCCGCTTGCAACCCCAGAATTTCCCTGAGTCTCCATATGAAATGGGGGTGCCAGTAGGACCCACCTCCCAGAGCTGTGTGGGTTCAGTGATTTTTGGGGCTTGGGGTCTGTACCCAGCCCACACGGGCGGGGCCTGTGTGCAGGCTGCAGTGAGGGGAGCCAGCTTTAGGGGGGACTGCATGCTGGCCTCGCCTACCCCCAGGATGCCCATGGACCCTGGAAGGAGGTCCCAGTGAGGCTGCCGGGAGCATGCTGAGTGGCGGGGTGGGTCCCTGACCCGGTGTCTTGGGGGCCTTCCTGCCCTTTGGGGTCCCCTGGGAGCTGGCCCCAATCTGGACTGAGCACTCCCAGGGGTCTTTCTTGAGGTGCCTGGGGTGGACCCCTGGGACAGCGGCTGTGGCTCCTAGGAGACCCCGGGCCCAGCCTGCTGGTGGGCTGTGCTCAGCGCCTTCCCACATCCCCCCCCTGCTGGGAGCTCACTGGAGGGAGCAGTGGGCTACTGGGTGTGTGGCCCCAACGAAGCTGCAGTGGATGGGTTAGGGCAGGAGGGGGCGCTTCGCGATAGCTCACTCCCAGGCTGGCTGGGTGGTATTAGCTACGGAGCTGAGTGTGGGAGGGGATCGGGTCGTGGGAGCCTGAGAGAGGCCACTCAGGGTGCTCCCCACGGCACCAGCCTCACCTCTCTACCTGCCTCTCTCCTTCCTCCCTCCACCCTTTCTCCCCATCCTCCCCCTCTCCCCCATCACCATCTCTCCACTCCGCGTCTCTTCCTGTCTGTCTCTTTCTCGCCTCTCTCTGTCTCTGTCTGTCTCCCTCCCCCATCCCCGACGGCCCTCTGTCTTCCTTTCTTCTCTGGGACTTTCTGACCTCTGGTCTGCCTCTCCCTCCTGTCCTGTACCCACTCTGCATCCGTCCCCTGGCCTCTTGTCCTTCCGTCTGTCTGTCTGTCTGTCTCGCCCCTCACGGCTCACATCCCCGCATCCCCTCATTTCCCTTCCCTTCTCTTTCTCCCTGTGTCTCCGCTCCCTGTGTCCTTGTCCCCCTCTCCCTTTCTTTCCCCCTTCCACCCTCGCTTCTTCATCTTTGTCTCTGAATTCTGGCCTCTGTCGATGGCCCCTCGTCCACCTGCCGTGGTCCCCCAGCCCCAGGGCTGATTGGCGACAAGCCGCCTGTGGCAGCGGCCCAGAAGGTGTGGGCCCGGCTGCACGAGGAGGCACAGCTGCTGGCTGAGCTGTCGGACCAGGCGGCGGCTGTGACGTGGCTGAAGGACGGCCGTGCACTACCGCCAGGCCCCAAGTACGAAGTGCAGGCATCGGCCGGGCAGCGGGTCCTGCTGGTGCGGGATGTGGCTCGAGATGACGCTGGCCTATACGAGTGTCTCAGCCGGGGGGACCGCATTGCCTACCAGCTCTCTGTGCAAGGTGATCCGGGTGAGGGGCTGGCGGGGTTCATCTGCCCTTGACCTGAGGCCGTTCATCCAGGGCCATTGTCTGTCCCTGCAGCTCTGGGGCAGGCTTCCGAGGGGAGTCTCTGGGCGCAGGAGCAATTGCTCTCTGATGCCTGGCAAGACTGGAGGTGGGAATTGGGAACGGCTCTGTAAGAGGAGACACTTTCTAACAGTGAGTTCCTCATCCTTGGAAGTCAGCCAACTAAGGCCGGCCCTGTCACTGGTCAGGGACTCTCTGAAGGGAACTCCTGGTCTGGGGGGTCAGTAACTTGTAGAGTCCCCGTAAGCCCCCAGCACCTCCGGCCTCCTAGCTGGCCTGTGGCATGCCTGATCAGGGGCCTCCTGCTGCCGGGTTCTGTTTGCAAGGCCGGCCGCCCCTGACCTGACCTGCCTGCTGTCCCTGCCGTCACAGGCCTCACCAGCTTTCTGTGCAAGGACCCGGCGGGTGGCCGTGTAGAGGTGGTGGCCGGCAGCCAGGCACAGTTCGAGTGTGAGACCTCCGAGGCCCACGTGAACGTGCGCTGGTACAAGGATGGTGTCGAGCTTAGTGGCTCCTCCCAGCACTTCTCACGGGAGGACGTGGGGATGCGGCACCGCCTGGTGGCAACCGCGGTCACCAGGCAGGATGAAGGCACCTACATCTGCCGTGCAGGCGAGGACTCTGTGGATTTCCAGCTCCGGGTCACTGGTAAGCACACTTTCCTCTGGGGGTGAGCAAGTGTGTGTACGCATGCCCGGGGCTGGCATAGGGTGGAAAGCAGGTGCGGCTGCATCCAGCACTTTCAATCATTGTGCTGTCGGGAAAAACAGGACTTACTTTCTGGGACCCCTCTTCCGTAAATGTTTGGGAGCAGTTGCTTCTCCACTTGGGAAAGGAAGTAACATCACAAAAATAACACTTAGGTGGGCAAAGAAGCTAAACATTAAAAATAAAGTAGAAGACAATGAGAAAAAAATACAGGACCAACTTAAACTTGGTTTTGTCTCAGGTGTTTATAGAATTCTTTTCTCTCTGCCCGAGTATTTGACCTTCAGGCCTGCTGGGCACCAGCCCCACTTTGCTTGGCAGCCCGGGCTGCCCGGGGCTGTGGCTGGGGCGAATGTCTGAGCTAACGGTCCAGCCCCACAGTACCCACTGCTGGCCTTTGTTGCTCGTTTCTAGGAAATAGCAGAAACCAAGCAGGGTGGTCAGCCACTGCTGTGTCTTGCATGAGCTTGTCCCCTCTCTCAAACAAGAGGACACCCTTCCTTCTCCCTACAGAAACTTGACTGTGTTCCCTGGGGCTGGCCAGCTAGTGTCTCCTTGTTAGCCAGCGACCTGGTCCCCAACAGAGCTCTGGAGTTTTCTGTGCCCAGGCCCGCGCCAGGCCCTGTGTGCATGTTTGGTTATGAGCTTCTTGTGGGGAGGGGCTCTTGTCCGTCATGCCTGTAGCCAGGGCCTGCTCACGCTCCTGACAAAACCTCTTGTTTGTCGTGTGTTCTGTCGGCCAGCCGCCAGGCTGGGCACTTGATTAAAAAATGCTTCTGAAGCTCCTATCCTCTTTTTAAAAATGAGGAAACTGAGGCTGGGAGGACCCAAAAGTCTCTAGAAGTGTCCTTGTCAGATTGAGATGTGAATCCAGGTTGGCTCCTTCTAGAAGCTTTCAGGGCTCAGAGGCCTCGGCTAGGAGACTGGAGGGTGAACACTACAAGGGGTTCCCGAGGAACAGGGGTGCTGGGCCACTGTGGGCCCAGTCATTAGTGCAGGCCCCACCCCTGAGATGGGCTCACCTCTCAGGGGACTCTTGGGGACCTGGGGTCCAGCACACACAATCCGGTGTCAGACCTGAGGAGAGAGGTCTGAAGCCCACTGACACCTCATCCCGGACGCTGTGGCAGAGGCAAGCACACTGGCATTTTCATTTACAATGTTTACAAACTCACGTGGGTGGTCGAATGGCTGGCACCTATGCAAAGCAGAAGACCTGATGTGGTTTGCTATTGCACTGTTGGAGTAGATGGGAGGTGCTGGCAAAGGGCAGTGAATTTCCTCTCTCCCATCCATACGCCGCGTGGACTGGCAGGTCCCAGGCAGAGGACTGAGACAGGAACTCACCAAGCACTCTGGGTGTGTCCAGACCTGTTGGCCACTGGGTTCCCGCTTGGCATTTCCTCCAGTCCTCTGTCTGCCCTCCTTCCTGGTACCAGGACGGTCTCCTCACTGTGCCCTGTTCTTGCCCACAGGTCCGTCAGTGAGGGGGCAGGGAATCAGCCCCTGTGCACGGGCCGTCCCTGCATCCAGCCTCTGGGCCACGAAGGGTGCTGATGGTGGGGCTGGGGTTTCCTGGGGTCTAGAGGCCCACTGTTGTGGATTCAGAACTTGGGGAAGCTCACTTGGGCAAATCTCTGATTGTGTGTCCTTCCCTGTCCCCAGAGCCCACGGCGGTGTTTGCCAAGGAGCAGCCAGCTCGGAGCGAGGTGCAGGCCGAGGCGGGGGCCAGCGCCACGCTGAGCTGCGAGGTGGCCCAGGCCCAGACGGAGGTGGCGTGGTACAAGGACGGGAAGAAGCTGAGTGCGAGCGCGAGGGTGCGCATGGAGGCCACAGGCCGTGGGCGGCGGCTGGTGGTGCAGCAGGCGGGCAAGGCGGACGCCGGGGAGTACAGCTGTGAAGCCGGGGGCCAGAAGGTCTCCTTCCGCCTGGACGTCACAGGTGGGTCCCAGAGTTGGGCGTAGGGGAGGGGACCTGCTAGTGTTGATTGTAGACTCCCAGGGCACATTCTGGCACCTGAGGTACTGTCAGGCCAGGGCATCCTTCCCGTGGTGGGCAGGCCCCATCCAGTCTCATGGTACAGAGTGGGCCTAGGGCTGGGCTGGCCGGCCTGGTGGGCACCCCATACCCGCTGGTGAGCAGTGGATGCTGACTGAGCGGCAGCCGCGTGCAGCTACACGATTCAGCATGTCATTCTCTTTGGTTTGGGCTCTGCTGCCGGTTAGGGAAAGGCACCCGCCTCGTCCTGGGGCCCCGCTCAGTGAGTGGGGCACAGGCACAGCCTGCTCACTTGTACCACAGCTGGGCCCCAGAGCCAGGGCTGGGTGGGCTGGCTGGGGGGTGCCAATGTAGTGCTGCCCTTCAAACCAGCAGGGTGGTGGGGTCCTGGATCAGTTGGCGCCCTGGGAGAGCGTTGGGGGCTGTGCTGATGCAACAGGTTTCTGGGGCATGGGGCTTGGGGGAGGGCTTCCAGCAAGGTCGCGCAGGCTCCCCTGTCTCCTTCCCGCCTCCGCCTGGGTCCGCTGCTGAGCCGTGGGCTCCTGGCAGTCATCGCCCTCCGCCTCTCGGTCCCTCTGCACCCCTCCTTCTCTCTTTCGCAAGCTTCGGTAGCAGTTACAAAGCTCAATGGAGCCACACCACACTTTTCTCCTGCTTAGGCCACGAGGCACTCAGCTTTCTTTTGATTGGGCCAGTCAGGGCACTCAGCGTTCTCCTGATTGGGCCACTCAGGGCACTCAGCTTTCTCCTGATTGGGCCACTCAGGGCACTCAGCTTTCTTCTGATTGGACTGTGCTGGCACTCAGCTTTCTTCTGGTTGGGCCAATCAGGGCACTCGGCTTTCTCCTGATTGGGCCACTCAGGCACTCAGCTTTCTTCTGATTGGACTGTGCTGGCACTGAGCTTTCTCCTGATTGGGCCACTCAGGGCACTCAGCTTTGCGTGGTTGCGCTCCAGCAGTACCTGAAGCCGATAAAAGATGCAGGTGATGGCTGTACCGTGTGAGGCCAGCCCATCTCCCCAGCTCTTCTCCGCTTCTCCTGCTTTCTGTGGCCCCTGCGGCTGTGGCTTCAGCTACTGGTCTGCACCAGGCCCGTGGGGGCGATTGGTGTCGTGGGAAGTGGGAGGGTCGCTTACTGTGATTCCCCTGGCGCCTTGGCCTGGAAGGCTCCCCTGAGCGGTGACTGAGCTGTGACCCCATGTCTGGCAAAGGAGCAGTCAGCACCCTCACAGCCGAGATGAGCGCGGGTGTGGTGATATGAGGTCAAGATGGAGGAGGACTGGCTGCGGCTGAGAGCTGTGGCTGAACAGCCTGGGAATATTCACGGTTCAGTTTATTTGCAGGATAAAGGCGGCTATAGTTCACTTTTGTTCTATTAATTCATGCATTGGTTTATAGCGTTGTATTAATGGTTAGGAGTCCCTGGGTGATGCAAGTGGCTGCTAACGGAAGGGTTGGAGGTTTTAGTCTACCCACAGGTGCCTCGGAACAAAGGCCTGGTGATCTGCTTCCAAAAAAATTAGCCATTGAAAACCCTGTGGAGCACAGTTCTACTCTGACACACATGGGGTTGCCGTGAGTCTTGAGGGCAACTAGTTTTATTAATGGTTAAGTACTTTGAGCGCTCTCCTCACCAGTGCGGGATTGCCCTGCCTTGCCGATCACTGGGCTCCTCCATCACGGGCTCCAGTTCTGTAAGATGAACTGGGCGTGGTCTGAGCCTCTGACCGCGTCTCCCTCCCTGTCCGCAGAGCCCACGGCAGTGTTTGCCAAGGAGCAACGAGCGAAGAGCGAGGTGCGGGCCGAGGCGGGGGCCAGCGCCACGCTGAGCTGCGAGGTGGCCCAGGCCCAGACGGAGGTGGCGTGGTACAAGGACGGGAAGAAGCTGAGTGCGAGCTCGAGGGTGCGCATGGAGGCCACGGGCCGTGGGCGGCGGCTGGTGGTGCAGCAGGCGGGCAAGGCGGACGCCGGGGAGTACAGCTGTGAGGCCGGGGGCCAGAAGGTCTCCTTCCACCTGGACGTCACAGGTGGGTTCTCTGGGCGTGTCTGCTGCCTGTCCAGGTCACATGCTTCTCTGTGCGTCCTGTTTGCTCCTGGCCACAGTCTTGCGACCCTTTATTACGCATACACAGGAGGGGAGTGAGGGGTTCTTTATCCTCAGATTGGTACTTACCCCCCACGCCCCACTTCTGAGGGTCTCTTTTCTAGGTAACTAGTACTTTGAAAAAAATCAGTACTCATGGCGTGTAATGAAAAAGCACTTTATTTTGTCTTCCACAATCCTTTTCATATTTATTTAATGCCAGAGTCTCTTTCCGTTCCTGGTGAAGAATTTGTTTAAACCTGTGGCTTTTCTCTTGGTTCTTAGGTCATAAAAGTTCTAGGACGATCACTTTAAGGGGCCCCATCCTCACCCCCTGCCACCTTGGGGAGGGGGCCAAGCCCTTCCCGCTTCCCTCTTTACTCCCTCACCCAAACTGCTGCCTGTAGCGTGGGCGTCCTCCAGAGGGGAAGTTAGGGGAAGGCAAAAGGGGTGCCCTGGGGTGTTCTCATTCGCCTGGTACTGCTGTGAGGTGACCTGGCTCTCTGGCCCTCTGGCTCCTCCCATACTCCTTCCCCAGTTCCTGGAAACTCAGCGAAGGCTCTGGCTTCTCTCTGCTGAAGAAACTGTGTCCCTCCAGCTGGTCCCATTGCGCCTCTCATCCCCATTTGGCCCACACTGGCCTGCGGGTAACCCACGTGTCCCCATTGCCCCAACAGTTAGGAACACCTTCTGCTTTTGGAGCTGTTGACCTGTCTGATCTTGGTGTTTAGATTTTCTGCATGGGGGCAGAATACCCTACTGTATCCTCCCAGCTGAAGACGCTCTAGTGATTGTTGACAGGCGGCGCAGGGAAACCTCTTCTGATCTCTGGTGTTTTCTGTGGTGTGAACGGGCTCACCACTGCCAGTCTCAAGCTACCAGGATGCCTTCCCTGAATGAGCGGTCGGGGGAAGATACATGTGGTGGCCCTTCTGAGCCAGAGCATGGACCTCCCACCACCACTGCCCCATGGTGACGGTTGCTATCTCTGCAGGGTCTCCTGGAAGCATCTCTCCTGACCGGGAGAAGGGAGAAGTCTCCTCCCCTCTGCTTTTTGGCCGTGAAGGTTGGGGGCAGGGGAAGCCGCAGTGTAGCTGCCTCCAGAGAGACCCTCTCCCCAGATCCACGCTTCTGTACTTCATCCTTTGATACCCTGGGTGTGGGTGAGGGGTTCAGAGTTGGGAAGCTGGTTTATTTTTTTTGGTTATTGTAGTGTTTTTAAGGGGCCCTGGTGGCAGTGGTTAAAAGCTCAGGGCTGGTAACTGAAAGGTTGGTGGTTCAAACCCGCCAGTTGCGCCATGGGAGAAAGATAAGCAGTCTGTATCCATAAGAATTTACAGCCGTGGAAACTCTGTGGGGCAGTTCTACTCTGTCCTTACAGGGTTGCTGTGAGTCGGAATTGACTCCATGGCGGTGGGTTTGGTTTTTGGTTTTTGCTAAATTCTTTGAGGATTTGCCTCTCTCCCTGGCTTCTTACCTTGGAATATCGTATCTGTTTGTCCTGATACCTTGGCCAACATTTCCAGGGTAGCATCCTGTTACACACTGAAAGTTATCTTTATCATTATAAATACTAAGGAAGTTCTGGCGCCAACAATTTTTTAATAAGCACATTTATTGAGGTGTAATTTATGCACAGATCTTAAGTATCCAGTTTGAGGGATTTTGAAAAGTATAGACATGTAACCATTGCATCCGTATGAAAATGTGGAACATTTCTCACCCCGCAAGTTTCCCCCATGCCCCTTTGCAGTCTTTCCCCTTCCTGTCTCAGACAACCTCTGTTTGATTTCTGTCTTCATAGATTACTTTTGCCTTTTCTAGAACTTCATTTACATTTTGAAGACTAGATAAACTGAAAATGAACCTCTACAAATCGCCTTGGAATGAGGAATACTAAGTGCCCAGGGAGCTTTAAAAACAGTAATAGAGATCATCTAGGAGCCAAAAACTAAGAGAGAACCGAAAACCCAGCAGTCGGCTTGTGCATCAGTGCTGCCGTGGGCTGGAGGTGGAGTTACGGGGCTGTGCTGGGGCCACACAGGACAGGTCTGAGGGTCTCTGCCCTTAGGGAGAGGGCTGCGGGGCTGCGGCCCTGCTGTGCTCTCCGTGGAAGGGTGGGCTCAGGGGAAAGCCACAGAAGCTTCTGTGTCTCTGCCCCTGAGGATTTGTGACCTCAGGCTTGGCTATCCTCATGTCTTCTGGGTGTTTGAATTTCTACTGCCTTCCCGCATGGCCCAGGACCCCCAAACCAAGAATTAATATAGTGTGTGGCCTCCATCTGGCAACAGGCCTCTGATGCTTGGCAGGAGCAAATGCAAACCACTCTGAAAGGACACGCCCTCAGCCAGGGCGCCACAATGTCCCCACACGTACAACTGTAGAGTACAGTTGAGCTCATGAACTAAAAATTACAAAACACGTGGGCAACAGTCAGCAGATAGAACAGGTGGTCTCTAAGAAGTAAAGGTGATAGAATTTATTGGATGGAGACTCTAAAATAAGTATGTTTAAGGTGGTTGAAAACATAAATGAAGGAATCATAAGCATAAGGAAAAAAAGCATAAGTAAAGGTTAAGAAGTTGTAAAAAAATCAAATAGAACTCTTAGAAGTGAAAAGTATAGAAATTGAAGTTTTAAAACTCAGCGCAGCTTTTATTTTGTTAAATGGCTTAATAGCTATTTAGTTAAAAAGCTAAATAGACATAGCTGGAGAGAGGATTTGTGATACGGAGGAAATTTTCCAAAATACAGCCCAGAGAGAGAAGCAAACAGATAAAGGGCTTCTGTTTCTGGTAATGGTGGGCGTGGTTATTTGGACAAATCCGCCCACTGAGAACTAAAATTGCTAGATAGAATATAAGGAAAAAGAGTCCTATGTCCTGAATAGCCTTAACATGCTCACAAAACTCAAAAAATGTCTGTAATACCAAACAACGAAACGAGATGAATACAACTCAAATGTCTATCAGCAGAAGAATGACTAAGTAGACTTGGGTCTGTTTCTGTCGTGCAGTACCATACAGCAGAGAATGAGTGTCGAGTTACATGTGTCACCTCAAAAGGGACAAATCCCAGAAACATAATGTTGAATTAGAAAAGCAAGTTTCAGAGCCCCACATAACTTTCATGTATGTTTAATAATAGCAATAGTAACAGAATGTAATAGCTATCACTTGCATCATGCCTTGAATTTCTGGACACTGGTCTCAGCACGGGACATCTATCAACTGTGTGGAATTCTGAAAACACTCATGACCCAATTTAGAGCTGAGGAAACTGAAACACGGAGAAGTTAAGTAACTTCGTCCGAGGTCAAGATCACACGGTGGTAAGCCACTGAGCAGACACCAGGGCAGCCTGGAGTTAAATCGGCACTTAAACATATACGGTAGAAGTACAAAGAAAAACCAGGGCATCCCAGAGCAAGCGTTAGGATGGGGCTACCTCTGTGGGACTGGGGAGACGGGGACCCTCAGGGACTTGGGAAGTAATGTCAATGGTGATTCCTTTACCAGCTTGTGAGTGTGTAGATGTTCATTGTATTTGTTTGTTTTCCTGTTTTATACATATTCTTTATTATCTACACATAATTAATACAAATAATTAAAATAACGGCATGTGAATATTATTTAGAAATAGGAAGGCAGATGCTAGGGGAAAAAAAAGAAAAAACACTAAGAGATTTTAAACTGGAGTTCCTGGGGAGCCAGGAAGGTGTAGGGATGTGTGGAGGGGCTGGGCAGAGTAATTTTTTTTTTCTTAATTTAAGCTTTTTTTTTTTTTTTTTTTTGCATTTTTGTAGTTTTAAGGATCAATTTATGTTCATGTATATTTTAAACTAGTTAATGTGTACATATATTGATTAAAAGAAAAACTATCTATTGTATATGATTCCATTCATAGGAAGTCCAAGAACAGGCAGAAGTTATGTGGTTTAGATGTGAGTACAGAGGGTGCTTTGGAGGGGGGCATGTGGAAATTGGGGTAATGGGACATCCTATGTCTTGATGGAGGGTGGCTTAGACAGGTGTATAAATTGTCAAAACTCATTGACTTGTGCACCAGATCTTTGCAAGTCACTGTATGTAAATTCCAGCTCAGTTAAAAGCTGTGTAAACCATGGCTTCAGTGCCCGGGGCTTCCTTTGTGTGTGAAAGGGAAACCTGGCTCATAGTCCGTGGTGCTGGCCTTCATACACCAGGAGAGACGTGGCCAGGAGGTGAGCTATTTGGATCATGGTTGATTTTGTTCGGTGGAAGAGATACTCAGGCAAAATTGGACGATATTTATAGACTGTGCCCAAATACTCAAATAGTTTTCAGCATGAAACTGAGAATGTGCCCATGTTTGACATCCTTCCTCCTTCTCCATTCTCATGCTGAACTTCAGAGTGGCAGGAAGAGACAAGTGCCTGGTGCCAGGCTGTCACATGGTGCCAGCAGCTTCTCCTTTCAGAAGGGTGCACCCTGTCCTTGGCAGCACTTTCTTTTCCTTTTCTCTGAATTTGTAGTTTTTCTTTTTTTTAAAATAGTATTTTATTGTGTTTTTGGTGAAGATTTATACAGCGGTTTAGGCTCCCATTCAACAATTTTTACACAAATTATTCAGTGACCCTGGTTATGTTCTTCACAATACGTTAACATTCTCATTATTAGTGTTCTGGTTGTTCTGTTTCCATTAATCTAGTTTCCCTGCCTCCTTACATTCTCTTCTTTAAGTCATTGCTGACCGTTCACCAAGAGTATCTCAGGACAATAGTCTTGGGGAGTCCCCCAGTTTCAAGCAGTTCAGTAAGTCTGTTTGTTTTTTTTAGGAGTTTGAGGTTCTGTTCCACATTTTTCTCCCATTTTATCAGGGTCCATCTATCGTGGCCCTGATGAGAATGTCATTGGTGATAGCCGGGTACCATCTAGTTCTTCTGGTCTCAGGGAAGATGAGGTTGTGGTTCGTGTAGACTGTTAGTCCTGTAGACTAGTTTCGTCTCTGGTTTTCTTCTTTCTCTTTTGCTCTGGATGAGAAGAGACCAATAGTTTGTATCTTACTTAGATGGCCGTTCGCAAGCTTTTAAGACCCCAGATGCTTCTTACCAAACTAGGATGTAGAATGTAACTATATTATGCCAATTGACAGTGTCCCACGAGACCATCCTCCTAATCCTTCAAACCTGGAAAACCGATCCCGCGAGGTGGCAACACTTTTTGTAAAATAATTTTTAGGACACTTTGAACTCAGGGACATTCCTTGCACTCTGCAGCTCTGCCTTCACAGAGTTCTCCTCACACTGCACTCCATGTGTTCACTTCCTGCAGCTTCCCAGATGCGTCTGTCCTCCTGCAAACCTGGGTTTGTTTGGTGAGGCTGCTGCTCCCAGGTTGCGGAAGGCATGCCACGTGCACTCAGTGGGCTCCAGTCTGAGACCCTCTGAATCTGAAACCTCGGTACCTGTGATCTGGAGTCTCTGACCGCGTCTCCCTCCCTGTCCCCAGAGCCCGCGGCGGTATTTGCCAAGGAGCAGCCAGCTCGGAGCGAGGTGCAGGCCGAGGCGGGGGCCAGCGCCACACTGAGCTGCGAGGTGGCCCAGGCCCAGACGGAGGTGGCGTGGTACAAGGACGGGAAGAAGCTGAGTGCGAGCGCGAGGGTGCGCGTGGAGGCCACGGGCCGTGGGCGGCGGCTGGTGGTGCAGCAGGCGGGCAA